GAGCTGCTTGAAGAATTTGAACACAGTATTCAAACAGAAACTGGAAATGATCATTTACCCAGCTCTGATGCCCTTCATGCTTTGGCAGGGATCACGAGCATTCAGAGCAGGCTAATCAGAGGAAACCATTATAGGAGGAGCTCCCTTATAGAGCTGGTTGCAGTACAAAGGTCCACGCACAAAGGCTTGGCAGCCCCTGGACTGCCAGAACAAAGAACAAGGAAGGACCCGAGTCTCCCTTGCAGCCTTAGCTTGTTCCACTGCTGTCTTCAGACCACGGTTGCTCTTTGTACGCAGTAACACCAGCCAGGCCTGTTCCTAGAAAAACGCTCCCAATTCATTTTCTCGCAAATCCCACTGCAGGAGATTCACGAGATCCAGCACTCCCAGGAGCTTTTTTTGGACGTGGCTGCTCCTTCTCTCCTCTCTGCACAGAAGTGTGCTGCTGCTGCTGCCGCCGCGGCAGAAGTATTTGAAGTTTGTGGATACTGGGTGTGGGATTTGAGGGGGTGGAGGGGTAATGGAAAGAAAAGCAGGGGAGTGGGGTGGGATGATGTTTCCAGGCAGCTTTTCTCCATTGCTCCCCCCACCCCTGCCAGCTTCCCTGCTGAGACCCAGGGCTCCCAGTCTGCCCTAACCCCCTCAGCTTTTCCAAAATGTCCGGTTATGCCCTACTTTCACTTTCACTTGCCAGCATTTCTGCTCCCTGCCGGGGTTTTCCACTCGCCAACTAACCCCCACTAGAAAGAAACAGAGGTGAAACACTTAATAAAGCAGACAGAAATATTTCACTGGCAAGACAGGTAGTGTCCTTCACCTTTTGCTGAAGATTTCGCTATCTAGTCTTGTGCAACTAAGAGATACCCTGTAAATTTGCTTTTTATATCTACCTTCACAGGAACAGCTTTATACGGAGGAAATTTTATAAATAAAAAAAGCAACCTTATGCCACCTTTTCTCTTACACCCTTCCTCCTCATCTGGAAAAAAGGGCGAATTAATGAAGATATAAACACAGTTTCCTTTATGACTAACTGCAAGCAGTTATCCTTCCAGCAGACCTTAAAACCAAGCCCACAAACCATGAAATCCCCGGCTTCCTCCGTCTCCCTCCTTCCCAGCTCAGCGGCACCCCAGGAAAGCTGTCAGAGCCCGGCACACGCCGCCTCCCTGGCTCCCCTACTCACAGTGCTGCCGTCGGGCTGCCCAGCCACCACCTCTGGGAGCTGAGGGCATCAACCATGTGCTCGCCAGTCGGACTTGCCCTCTGAACCCTTGCTTCCCATGGGGACGGTCCCCTGGCTGCAATAATACCGTCAGAAATAAAACCCAACTGGCCTGTGACAGCTCATCGTGAACTCCCAACTGCACGCCTGTACCTCGCTGTCTCCCTCGGAGTCTCCCTCCGCGGGATGTCATGGATGCCTTTCCGCTAGCCACTTAAAAAACGGAGCCGAGTATCATTTCCTTCTGGTTATTGCGCCATACGCACGCGCATCTGCCAGGCACGAGCAGAGCGGCCAGGCACAGCTGATGTTTTTGGCAGATGCATCAGTAAAATCAACATCCCTACAAACCGGCATAGTTTATCCCTATCGCCTAGTTCCTGTCGTTGCGCACCAGCGCTTACCTTGCCCCAGTTCCTCCCATCCTTCCAGTGCCGGGGATATTCAGGACCTTCCCCTTTCAAGATTCCT